AGCTTTATATAACTCGATTTAAGCGAAGGGAGCAAAAAGGAACAGAACAGGATTTTTGGAGACATGACTGGACAGTGCTGATGCTGTCTATTCAAAGGAGTTTGGATCCTTTTTCAGCACACATATCATGTCTTTAGCAGCACTCAGTTTACTCTTCCATAGAAATGGACAGTTATATTTGTTTGCACTTGGTCCCTTTGAAAATTGAAAACTTGCCGAGGAGGCCAAAGGGAGAGGAGGGGAAAGAGAGGAAGCAGGTGGGACTGGAACTGTTAGCAACAGTTTGGGGATGTTTTGAAATAATTAAACAGCAAAGGAGCTTCCGTAAGTCATGTTTTGCTATTCACGTTTATTTTTTTTTCTGCTTAGGTCTTTAATAAAATTCTAAATTCTATTTATAAGACTCACCCCACACTGCTAGTTTAGTGCTGGCAAGCCAAGTGGGAGATACAGACCCGATAAACCTGTGTAGGAACAGCTGTAAAATATTCCAGGGGAAAAAACACCTTCAGTTGTCCAAGAGATTTGGATGATGTCCATGTGGAGAGCAGAGAGCTTTTGAAACACCTAAAGCTCGTGTGGGACACATGGTAGCATTGCAGGAAACCTATAAAGCAAAAGATTTATAAGGGAAAAACTGGAAGACCACGTATGGTTTTTAAACCGGAGGAACCGTCATACTCTTGCTGCACATGACTTAATCCCTGTTGTCTTCAAAGCCCCTAGTAAATTGTATAAAAGCAGTTTGCTAAACCATGCTTCTGAGTCCTTTGAGAGGAGCTTCCAGCTGCTGCAGCCCCTTGCTCGAGCTGGCTGGCAGTGCCCATCCTGAGCTGCAGTGGTGCAAAGCGCAGCCGTGTACGTCCTCATGTTGTTCCTGCCAGCTGCTGGCACAGCCCACAAGGCTCCTGTTTTGGAATCTGTTTAATAAAACTCCAGCTTTTAAAACTGACCCTCCTTCTGTAGAAACAGCAGCTAAGGTGTTGCTGTGTGAGAGCTGAAGTACCAAGCATTGCTGGGAAGCTTGTTCCTCTGCGTGGCTGATGTTTGCTTGCAGCATTTTAGCTAAGAGGATGTGTTTTTTAAGCTCAGCTTTTATTGCTGTTGCTGCTTGTGACACAACACTGGAGTTTCAGTATTTTTCTTGATCTCTAATCTGCATTGTGTTGCCCTTGATAATATTAAAATGTTCTCCTGCTAGAGTAATCTCATCAGGAATAGACTTGACACCTTTACTCGTGCTAAATGCCTCCCTCTTTGCTGGTTCCTTGTTTATTGTGAATCTGTCTCCAGCATTTGTTTGGAGTTGAAACATGTTGCCTTTTTTTTTTTTTTTTTTTCTCTTTCTTGTTTTTTACCAATCAGAAAATGCAACAGAAGATGAATAACACTGCTTGAATCGTCACATTGCATAGTTGGAAGCTTGGAAGTTGGAAGCAAATTTAGAGTTTAAAAGAATAAAATTTTCTAAACAAAGAAATGCTTGCAGAGTGACCTTTCCTCTTCTTGAAGACTTAGTGATTGTGCAGCTGTTCTCTCCTGTATTTTCCTAATGCATATTCATAGATTTTCACAAGGAAAAAACATGTTTGGGAAACCATGATTCTAAGTTAATTAAAAATAGTTTTTCATTTTAGAAAATTAAATGTGTTGGCAGTGGCTTACTCATTGCTAATGGGTAATTGTACTTTTTCAATAATAATAAGAGATTCAATGAAACTCTAGAAGATGTTAGAATGTGATTAACTAGATAATCTGTATATTTGAGTTTTTATTCCCAAATAAGATGGATCTCCCAGAGCCAGAAGTGTGAGTTTATATTTGATAATTATATGAGACTCTTGAGCTTTCTTGCAGATTATAATTCAATTCTGAAGGGAAAAAAAAAAAAAAAAGAGAGAGAAGGAAGAATGGGTGCCTCTAATTACAGGAAGACACTGTGACTGGCTTGGTCAGCTTGTTCAGTCCCTCATTTCAAACAGAACAAGGCAGAGTATGTGCCATGCTGTGCTAGAGCTGCAAATACAAATACAGAACCCATCAGTCCCAAATTATACCTTCCTCAAGTACTGGTTGTTTCTGTGGAACAGTTTCTGAAAGTGTTTATTAAGATCTTAGCCATGGTTTTCATTGATTTAGTAGAGGATATTAAATGTTGAGGAGCATTAGAGATGGCTGGAAGGTGTTTAGGATTTATTGGACAACTTGTGGCTGAGCAAGCAGCTTACCAAAACAAGGGACCTGCATCACGGAGGCAGAAAAGCTGGGTCTTATTTCTTTGAATCTGATGATAGGAAAGGTTTTATGTATGGATGTTTGTTCAGCTCTATATTCAGGTATTCTTATATATGTGCAGACCCACTCTTTTTCTATGGTGTTTTATGTCCACATTACCAATAATAATAAAGTTAACTTCAGAAGATGGTTACGATTCACACGTCTGTCTGTTTAGTACCAAGTCCAAGGGCTGTAAAGCTAGCAAACTAAATGCAGAAAAGTTACTTTTACGTTAACAGTAACAGAAAATTTGTTAGTGAAAAACACCTGATCTTTGCCCATTGAAAATGCTTTTTTTTTTTTCTTTTTTTTTTTTCTCTTCATGTGTAAGTGCTGTTGAGAAAATATTAATGGAGGTAAGGATCCAGGTGAAAAGAGTCAAGTAAAAGCACACTTGGCTAAATTAAGAGAGCTAGAAGATGCCTTGTGAATCTGCCTAAGGTAGTTACTGTAATTGCTGAGAATCTTTAATGGTCCTCTGGGTCCTAAGCAAAGCACCTTAACACTGCAAGGGGTCACATATTTAAAGGAGAAAAAGAAAAAAAAAGGGGGGGGGGACGAAAAACAGGCCCCTTAAAGACTAAAACAAATGAAACAATCTATTGTTTCACTTAAAAGTCATCTGAACTGGAATTACTGTACTTTAGTCTCTGTGGGATTAAAATTCAGATTATGTCAAATTAGGTCAATCTCATACACAAGAGGATGGGGACTTCAAAGCTAAGGCTGGGACAATTGTTCTAAATACTATAAATTACAAACCTGCCCTTTAGCAAGACAGCTAATTTCTAGGCATCTGCACGTACAGGTAGGCCTGTGGTAATTAACTGAAAGGTTGAACTCTCCAATATGGCTGAGTTTACCAAAATGTGTGGATGGAAGAGAGAAAAATATCCAATGAGAGTTTGGCACAAGCAGTGTGCTGCCCTTAAGTAGCAGCTCTGTGAGTCCATGTAGTAGGGTTCCTGTAGTTCAGAGAAGATGCAAGGCCAGGAGCAAGAAAGTGCTGAAGCATCTTGCAGGGCTGGAAGAGGAAGGAGGTGCAGAGTATGGGGAAAAAACATCTGTTTGCTGGAAGCACCCCAAAAAAATGTGGACCAGGTCTACCTTCACTTGCTCATCTAGTAGCCAAGGTCTCAAAGATATCTCTAACTGGAGTTTCTACCTTGATGGGTTGTAGCACTTTTCACTGTCCAAAGACTGAATTTCTCAATTTTGTACCAGCTGAATGCTTCGTAGAAAGCATTCACTTCTCAGTGTTGGGGGTGTTTGTGCAACTGAACGGCCTTGGCAGGGATGTCCCGGCAACCCTAACCATCCTGTTGGGCTGTGGGAGGGGATGCTGTGGAGGGGATGAGGACAGACCAGGCAGGGATGTCACCAAAGGCTCCCCTTTGGTGGCCATGTGGTGTTTCGGGATGAGACCTGGTGCCACGGGTAGCATGGCACTGGTGGTTACGTTGGTTACGCATAAACCAAGAGGAACGGGAAGCTTTGTGCCTGCTCAAAGATGGTTCCTCTAAAGGGAGTTTTATAAATATATTGATTCTCTGGAACAGAACAAAATATCTCCTTCTGAGGAGAAAGAAACTAAATTTAGTAATAGGGGAAGATGCCAAAAGCAATAGATTAATATCAGGAATGGGTGGTGATATGGATTAGAAATCAATGCATTCGATGTGGTTCTGTCATTAGAGGCAGATGCTATACTGGAAGATAAAAATGGAAATGCCAAGCTTGGCTCAGGAAAGAAATTACTCATCTCTTTGCAGTGCTGTACAGGACAAGTTAAGTACTGTGTGTCATCTGATTAAAAAATAACTGAAAGACATCTCCTGTCATGAACAAACTGTAGTACAGTAGTACTGGAACAGGTTAAAGGAAAGGATTTCTTAAAAGATATCTCAATTGGAAGGCCAGTGTCAATAGCACTGAAAGTTCTGTACGTACATACACAAATGCGTATTTTGTGTCTGTATGTTTTATGTGTGATATTTACTAGTATGTCTGTTAGATATATGTAAGATATATGTCATGGATATCTCTGGAGTTAACAGTGGTGATAAACCAGTGTGTGGAGCATCCAGTGGTTTATGTTGTAAACCTCTCTGTCCATAACCCTGCACCTGTGAGGAACAGCTGCTAACTTGAGTGTCATACCAGAGAGATTTTCAAGAGAAAGATAAAGAGGAATTCTGCGGGCATCCCTAAATGTGTGAAAATTTTTTATTAAATTAAAAAGAAAAAAGAAGTGAAGTCATCTTTTTTCATCCCTAGTGTGAAGAAAAGCCAGAAATTACAGAAATCACTAAAAATGAGAGGCAGCTTTTCAACGTGATACTAGCACTATGGTGAAGTGGAGTAGTACTTTCCAACGGAAGGAAAATACCCTACCATCAAAGTCAAAAGAAAATAAATCTTTCACTTAGACGATACTATTATTAAAGACAGAAGAGATTTATTTTCAACATTAATTTAAAGGCAAATGAGCAGTCTTTCTCCAGGCCTTGAGATATGTGGGTGAAAGATGTATTTTTCACCATTTCAGCCTCTAACATTCAGGCATAGCTTAGGTTCCTGTTCACTAGGGAATCTGTAAAGTTATGTTTTGACTAAAAGCAGCAGTGAGTGCAAAACAAGTGATGCGTTCGAGCTTTGCCACTAATCAAGTTTAAAATGATCACAGCAACTTGGCTAATTGTATTAATTTATTTCTTCTAAAGGCAGAATGGGGAAACAGAATAGCAAGCTGGCCCCTGAAGTGATGGAAGATCTGGTGAAGAGCACGGAGTTCAATGAACACGAGCTAAAACAGTGGTACAAAGGCTTTCTAAAGGACTGTCCAAGTGGAAGACTGAACCTTGAGGAGTTTCAGCAGCTCTACGTGAAAGTAAGTTATTACTAAGTTTCTTCTGTTTGGCCTTCAAAAAGTTTACAAAGTAATACAAAGCAAACACATGGTCAAGAGTTGTCCTTCATTTAAACTAAGGAATCCTTCATTAGGAGAAGCAATGCTGGATACAGGGAGGTAAATGGGAAGTGCTGCCCTCATTGAACTAGCACTTCTGATAGCTACAGTGACCAGTACCAAAAGTTTAAGGAAAAAATACGTGGTTTACTCAAAGAAATACAGCCTCTTCACTCTGTAATTTATGAGCCTTTTCCACCTTCAATAAGAGGTTGCAGCCCTATTCAGTAAGCCATACTTTACGTATTTAATACCATTGGAATATAAACCCTGGACCTACTCATATAAAAGACTATATTTCTTTTGGTTTCAAACAAAAGTAGTGAGGCTTCATGGCGGTATGTCCTCTGCAGATAAATTATGCACTGTGTACAAAGGATTTCCTTCTCTAGATTTTGAGTACTGCCTTTCTTTTTTCTCTACTGTTTCTTTGCCCTTGATAGATATGAAAGGAAAGGCATGCTGCTGTTCAGTTTATTTTCTTTTTATTCTTCATTATTTTATCATGTCCAATGTAGTCTTTTCCTTACATTTAGTATGTATTTATTCTGTAAAAAGAAGTGCATGGGGGCAGCGTAAGAAGTGTATTCATGTTATAAAGATAATTATATTTTAATTCAGAATCGAGTGTCTGCCTAAAGGTCAGAGACTTCAAAGTAATTTTAATTAGGGGGAATACTGGATGGTGATGATGAACACTAGGATCAGAAACAGTTCATAAATACGTGAGGCCCAATAAAAATTTAAAAAGCCTTTCAAATGTGTTAATACTGAGCACACTGACAATTTCTGCAGACAAGTGGGACTATCTGTCTTTTCCCTTAAATGCATACTACAGTCCTATCCTCAATTTCTTCAGTGTAGAACCAGATCACTCTGTGAATCATCACCTAGCCCCTTTTAATTTCTAATGAGTGGTCACAAAAACTGCTAACTACAGGTTATATAAGTAAGCCTCTGTCTTTGTGTTTTAATATTTATGACTAGAGATGTTGCCCGACAATCTTTTTCTTAAAAAAGACTGCCTTTGTAATAACTGTTATTTTCAGATGAAATAATTTTTACTGCCTCAGGTATTGTGCTTGTTATTGACTGATAATTTATAGCTTCTATTTTAAATTGTACTCAGTGTACATCCACAGGATTAGACATCTAATCATTTCTCTGACGTGTTTCTGAGGAAAGTTAATAGTCTTTACAAAATATTCCAAATAAAGTATGTCAAGTGTTTAACTCCTTGAAATCGTTATTTTCTTTTTGGCAAATTGTAATAAAGTGATTTTTTTTCAATGACTTTATGTGTTGTGGGGGAAGCTATCATCTGAAAATAGCTTGAAGCTGTTAGGACTTCCTCCCTTCAAAAGGCTGTTTGAAGTGTTTGCAGATAATTCACGAGATACTTTACTCATGGAGGAAATATCAGAGAGTAAATTCAGGATCAAGTTTACAAAATGGTACTGCAAAATGTAAAACAAAGAGTATAGAAGTACTGAAATCTGGAGACATCTCTGTAGTCTTACTGAATCGCAGTATCTGGCTTTTAGTTTTATGGCCTCGTAAATTTTTGGAAATGCACACCAAATAAGATTGTCTCCTGTGCTTTTGTGGTTATGTTTTTTGAGATCTGCTCTGTAATGTTGCTGTTGTATATTTGGTCCAGTTTATAGTTGTTCTATATATAATGTCTATATACAGGGCAAAATACTAATTTTGCAGAAGAGAAATACGATTAGCTGTAGTAAATCCAGAGCTTTACTTCTCCTTCTGTCACTGAAATGCTTCTAAAATAATGGCCCTCGGCTGTCTGAGAAATTAATGGTCTGAGTGTTGTCAGTGGCGGCGACTTCTTGTCCGCAGGATGTTCTGCTTGCCCTGGCTGCAGACAAAATCCCAGATTTGACATTTGATCTTTCCAGGAGAAGCCACCAGAAGGAGACCCAAATCACGATTATTACATTTACAGCATTTCAGTTCCTTTAATGCATATGTGGGGTAAAAATGTATGAAGCTAGTATTTATTAATAATTTCTCTGCATGAACTTATGGTTGGGAGAGATGACATTTTAGTTCTTGGTCTGAACTGAATTTTATCAGAGAAGATTTCTGTAAACAAATATACTTGGAAAAGAAAGAACTACTTTTTTTCAGTTCAGATTTACATTTTCTTTAAATGATAATGTTTATTTGTTCAAGGGAGTTGTGTGGTACACTTTCATGTGGGTTGAAGGGTGTTGGTCATCTTAGTAAGATACAAAGAATGCTTATCTTTTACTCAGACATAATAGAAAATATCCTCAACTTAAAGAACAAACACATTTTAGGTTTCTCAGGAGCATTGTTTTTTGGTGAATTTCTTGAATATTTTTAGTTACTACTCTACTGGCATAATTACAGAGTGGGGTGCACAAACTTGGGGTGCACAAACTACATTGTTGTGGAGGAAACTTATCTGGAAGATGTGTCCTGGAATCACACCTAATGCATTACTGTTTCTAATGCCAGCTAATAAGCACTTACTCCATGGGTCCAAATTAGACATGGTCTGAATTAAAACATCCAGAACATGTGTGATGTGGATGGTCCTCAACACTAACTCTTCCACCCTACGCATTTGCGTCAATTGTACTGTGCTGTTTACTGATGTAGATGAAGTCTGTATTGACTAACAGGGAGAATTACTCTAGCTTGGCTTGGAAGCGTTTGCTATTGAAATTTCCATTAGGAATACAAATCATGCAATGCTTAAAATAAATAGCAGTTGTACAAAATGGACTCTACAGTAAAATTATTTGCAGCACTTTTAGTGGAAGTGCATATAGGAATATTTAATCAAGAACACTCTTTTAAATAAACAGTAAATAGGAGGAAATATACTTTATACTGCTGCATATTTAGCATTGCTTGCAGTCTCAGAGGTTTGGTAAAACTTAATTTTACATTTTTGGATGCACAGATTCTTTTTGGGGTGTGGAATCTGTGATGAGCTATTATGCCTCGTGTGAATCCATGGTGCTGAATGACTGGAGGGCTTGTACAGTTTTTAAATTCATTTACTGAAGACTTGTGTGTATATTAGAGTCCCAGATCCACAAAGAGACCTACATGTTGAAACACCATATTAGCTGCCCCGACCGTCTACACAGAACATGGGAGTGGGGAGAATTTGTGGATACTATTAAAAAAAAAAAAAAAAAAAAAGTAAAAATCAAAGCAGCATGTTGTAAAGAAATGTGCCAGTGCAAAGCCACAAGGTAATGATCAAGACAGGAATTTGTATTGAATTCCACATTTCTCCAGGGTATACGCATCTGTTTCCATATGGGAGTGGTATTCTTGAAACCTCTCCTGCAGAGAAATATCTAGGACATTAGGAGTCAAAGCAAAATCAGGTGACTGGAGTCCTTTTACTTTCTCTCTTTAGTAAGGAAGATAATGTGAATACCTTGTCGTTACCACAGTGCTTTAAGTACTCATCAAGCTGTAGGAAACCCAGAATCAATTATCGTGTCCCTGTAAGGAGCTTGAATCTGTACTACTCACCCTCTGTAACTGCTCTGCTGATGAGATAGGTCCTTCTGGTCTGCTGGCAATGCCCCAGTCAACCTCTTTTTCTGCAGGAAATAGTGGTAAGTAGCTCAGTGGGTCCGTGGGACAGTCTGGATCCTGCAGTTTCCATCTCCACAGTGAATATTCTAAGCATTAAGCTAAATCCTTGTTTGTTCTGTTCAATTGCTTTTTTTCCTATCCTAAAAATTCTTCAATTCTTTTACCTTACGTAAAACATCATTAGCATTGTGGGCAGAGAGCTGAAGGAATTAATATACAAAATTCTCATTAAAATAAAATATACCAATAAAGCATGCTGGAATATTCCCATCATTCTTTAGGGTTTCTTGCAGTCTAGAGGGCCAAATACATTTTGCTTCAGATCTTTTGAATTCACTGGATTTAGATGAATATGCCCTAGAGTGTGCAAGGGTGCATAATCAGTACTAATGTTCACAGGAATTATGCGTGTTTATTAAGTGGAAAATAGGCTTCTATATTGTGATACTTGTTGGAACTGGGTCACTGAACATGAGAAGCATATTTTCTGGATTAATTACAGAAACAAGCACCAATAGTGCTTTAACTGGAAGGGTAGGGTTGAGAATTGTAGTATAATGCTAACATTAAATAAAGTGAGTTGCTTTGTGACTTCATTGCACATCTATTATTTAGCTATGTTTTGGGGTTTTATAGATAACATTTAACTGAATGAATATAGTAAAGCCATTTGATTAATTACAGTCAAATGGTCTGTCATATTTTTGGCTTCTGTCTCACATTTCCTGCCTTGAAGGGAATTGATTCCTAGTCACTCATTTTAATATCTCTAGGAAAAAAAAAGAATCTCAAAAAATACATTGATATGTAAGCACATATGTTTGCATCTTCTTCTCTATCCAGATTTTCAGGACAGGTTGGTCTATTCTCATGTGCCTGGTGACAGGACGAGGGAGAATGGGCTAAAGTTGCGCCAGGGATATTTTAGGTTGGATATTAGGAAGAACTTCTTTACTGAGAGGGCTGTTAGGCATTGGAATGGGCTGCCCAGGGAAGTGGTGGAGATACCATCCCTGGAGGTCTTTAAAAGACGTTTAGATGTTGAACTTAGCAATATGGTTCAGTGGAGGACTTGTTAGTGTTAGGTCAGAGGTTGGACTTGATGATCTTGACGTCTCTTCCAACCTAGACAATTCTGTGATTCTGTGATCCTTCTAAAGATGGCACACTGCTCCTCAAAATGTTAGGTTACAGCTGCATTTTAGGCTTTCAGTGCATTTGAAGAAGTGGGATTCCAGAACAACATGGCTGTGTTTGCCTCGAACGTCGATGGAGTTACTCTGGTAAAAGCTGATTTTCCTGGGATCATATCTTTT